GTGAGCAGGCATACTTACCATCACAAACACCACCCGGCCTTGAAGATCTTCGACGTGAAGACCTACTGAGTGTTCGTGGTAATGGTAAAGGCGAGAGGAAGGCACATGATAGAATCTACGATTATGCTCCTTATAATGACTTAGGTAAGCCTGATAAAAGTGAGGATCTTGTTAGACCAGTCCTGGCTGGTGAGGAGTGGCCTTATCCTAGGCGTTGTCGAACTGGTAGACCTCCAACTAAGTCAGGTATTTCCGATATTATGGTGCAATTTCATTCCTTCTGTTTTTGTATTCAATTCCGCGGTATATTCACCTGATCATGGTAGCATGGACTTAAATTTAAACAGATCCATTCTCTGAGAGTAGAATAGAGAAACCCCATCCGGTTTACGTTCCTCGGGATGAAACTTTTGAGGAGGTTAAGCAAAACACTTTCTCTGCTGGAAAGCTGAAAGCTCTGTTACACAACCTTATTCCATCGATTGCTGCTACTTTGTCAAGTTCGGACATCTCCTTCACTTGCTTTTCTGATATAGATAAGATGTACAATGATGGTGTTCTCTTGAAAAATGATGAGCCAAAAAAAGTAGTTGAGAATCAGCTTCTGCCCAATTTGGTGAAACGAATATTAACTGTTGGTGAATTGTTGTTGAAGTACGAAGTTCCAGCCATTATTAGAAGTATGTGCCCTTGTTTTCTCCTCCTTCGTGTCGAGTTTCAAATTTGATATCTGAAACTCATGGTTTTTCTGCACCTTCTCTGTTTCTCCTACAGGGGATAAATTTGCATGGCTTCGGGACAACGAATTTGGACGCCAGATTTTAGCTGGTGTCAACCCAGTCAATATTGAACTTTTGAAGGTAACATTTTAGATTTGTTTGCGATCTGTTGGTTCACAATTTTTTTTTGTTGATATCCAGTGAGAGTCATCAAGTTGGGGCTTTTTAATTTACAGGAATTCCCAATTCTGAGCAAATTAGATCCTACAATCTATGGCCCACCAGAGTCAGCAATAACAAAAGAGTTGATAGAAGAGGAACTGAATGGAATGAGTGTCGAAGAGGTAATGATATGAACATTCACTGGGTTGATGAATGCATTTTATAATTCCACAGACAAATGATTTCATCGTTGTAGTGTTGATACAGGCAATTGAGAACAAGAGACTATTTATACTTGATTACCATGATATGCTTTTGCCATTTATCAACAAGATGAACTCCTTGCCAGGGAGAAAAGCTTATGCCTCTAGGACAATCTTGTTCTACGGCAGTGCCGGTATTCTGAAGCCCATTGCTATTGAGCTCTCACTTCCTCCGACATTTTCTTCACCGCGAAACAAGCGTGTTTTCACTTATGGACATGATGCTACAACTCATTGGATTTGGAAGCAAGCTAAAGCTCATGTTTGCTCTAATGATGCTGGCATCCATCAATTAGTGAATCATTGGTAAGACTGATGAGCTGTTACTAAATATAATGATTTTCTTTTTCTTTTTCTTTTCTAAATAAAATGTGAATTCTTCTAAATCAAATGGTGATTTGAGATTTTCAGGTTGAGGACTCATGCTTGCATGGAGCCATACATAATTGCCACCCATAGGCAGCTTAGCTCAATGCACCCCATTTACAAGCTGCTCCGCCCTCATATGCGCTACACAATGGAACTCAACGCGCTTTCGAGGCAAAGTTTAATAAATGGAGGGGGAATCATTGAGGCTTGTTTTAGCCCAGGAAAGTATGCAATGGAAATAAGCTCTGCAGCCTACAAGAGCATGTGGCGATTCGATATGGAGGCGTTGCCAGCAGATTTAATTCGGAGGTAAGGGGTTTCTAACATCCTCTGCCTTTACAAATCTCTCTCTTTAGCAAAATGTGGAGTTTGTACCAAGCCTCGAAGGCACAGACCTCGAGCTTAATCAAAACATTGACATCACACCAGGTCACCAAGCCTCGAAGGCACAGACCTCGAGCTTAGTCAAAACCCTGGCATCACAACAGTCACCGAGCTTTGAAGGCGCAACCCTCAAGCTTAGTCAAAACCCTAGCTTCGCAACATGTTACCAAGCCTCGAAAACACAACCCTTGGGCTTAATATCAAAACTTTGGCATCACTGAGCCTTGAAAGCACATAGCCTAATCAATACCTTGGTATCACACCATGTCACTGAATCTAAAAAGTCTAATTCTCGAACCTAATCAGATTTTTTTTTCTCATTTACTAACATCCTCTGCCTTTAAGATCACTCTTAGCAAAACGTTGAGTATTTACAATCTTGATAAATTTTTCAGGGGCATGGCTGTCGAGGATCCTTCAATGCCCTGTGGTGTTAAACTTGTGATTGAAGACTACCCTTACGCGGCAGATGGACTACTCATATGGTCTGCCATAAAAGAATGGGTAGAATCCTATGTAGAACACTTCTATGCTTATGATTCGAACTCGATCACATCTGATGTCGAGCTTCAAGCCTGGTGGAGTGAGATCAAGAACGAAGGTCACTTGGATAAGAGGAACGAGGACTGGTGGCCTGAACTGAACACGAAAGAGGACTTGTCCGGCATACTCACCATCATGATTTGGATTGCTTCAGGTCAGCATGCTGCTATAAACTTTGGGCAGTACCCGTTTGGTGGATATGTGCCTAACCGTCCCACCCTTATGAGAAAACTTATTCCCCAGGAAGACGATCCTGAGTATGAGAAGTTTCTTCTAAACCCTCAGCATACTTTTCTGTCATCTTTGCCGACTCAACTTCAAGCAACCAAAGTCATGGCTGTCCAACATACCTTGTCAACTCACTCCGCAGATGAAGAGTACTTGGGTCAGGTTCACCATCTTAATAGACACTGGATCCATGACCCCGAAATTCTTAAACTACTAGAGAAATTCTCTGATAAAATGGTGGAGATAGAAGAGACAATTAATGAAAGGAACAAGGATATCCGTCTTAAGAACCGAAATGGTGCTGGAGTTCCTCCATATGAACTGCTTCTTCCCTCATCAGGTCCGGGAGTGACCGGTCGTGGTATTCCCAACAGCATCTCTATCTGATCTGTTCTGATTGGCTTGAAACCTTGGTGAATTCACTACTGTTGCGTTTGGGCTGAATTGGTGTCTTGAATTTGGAATCGGAGGAAATTGACGTGTTTAGTGCACACATTTGCTTCTAAAACCCAGTAATTTGTAATCAAATTGCTTTTGCAACAGTTATGAATAGGCTATGTTCTTGAGAATAAGGTATACAATATTGACCCTTTAGATATTGAGCAATGCTACTATTGTCGACTTTGTTATAACGAATGAGAGAGAGTGTGTGGGGTCTACCACTTCACACCTCTATCTCTTATAATTGGTGTTATAGAATTTTCCTTACTTATTTAGTTCTACTTGTTTGTTGGTTATCAATGACATTTCAACTTGAAAGCACCATTTTAAATTATGAGTTCCTCCAAAAAAAAAAAATAATAATAATAATAATTAATAAAAAAAATAGTAATAATGAGTGGCAAAATGGATGCATAAGGCTAGAATGGGAGCATTTTCAAGGCTCCCAAGATACAAACACAAACAAAAAAAGCACACCATGAGTTTGAAAGCAATCACAATGTATAAAATTATGTCAAAGATTAAATCTGGGCCCAGTTTTTGCCCAACATTGCGACATATACTGAGTAATGTATTTAACTTAATTTGAATGCAGAATCTGCTTTTTAAGGACCGAAATTGACTACAAAATTGAAGAAATGATGATTGTAAAAACTTTCTTTTACTTTAAAAACATTTTTCTTTAACTTCATTCACTGTAATTTTACATTATACTCCCAGTTTAAATGTCGCTTTTGGAGAGTATGAATTTTTAAAAGGACAAGTGGGACATGCATTATCTGCTTAAAAAGATACTAATTTGTCCTTCGAAATTTTAAACTCCAATCTCATATATGAAAAGATATAAAATAAATTGTTTTAAAAAAAAAAGTAACAAGTATTTTGAGATAAACTAAAAAAAGGTATGATTTTTTTTCTTTTTTTTTTTTTTTTTTTTTTGGATAGAGGGAGTAATTTATTTGCTTCTTCCTGAGTGAGGAAGTTATTGAAATATCAAAAAAGGGATAGTGGTGGTCCCCTATGTCTACTAATGCGTTAATGATGTTAAAGAGGGCTACCAAAGCACTTGGCTTATGACACAACCTTTCTTGTTTGGGAAAGTATATCTATTGATATAAGTAGATTCTTGTCTCACCTGTATGTTGTTTAAATTATTATGTTTCTGGTGGGCTGGTCTTTGAAAATTGTGTATAGTTTTCTTTTAAAGAAGGAAGAATAAAAAAATAAAAAATAAAAAAACCTATCTAATCCAAGTACCATAGTACCCTTTTATGCTCAACCCCACTCAATTCCTATCATTTGATAACAACCTCCATTTTTGCAACCTTTTAAAAAGCCCTAGCTCCCACCAAACTTGATTCTCTTACTTCATATCAGATTCTCTAAAGTAGCACTTCTTCAAATAGTCTTTAATTACATCCAACCAAGAAATTTATCTTCAACTTTCTTCATAGGACTTTTTTTTTTTTTTTTTTTTGGGAAGGTAAACCAAATAGGACTACATTGTGAAGTCACAAGATTAGGCCTTAACCTATCTTTCTAGCCGGGAAAAAAAAGTTAATTGTATAATTGTCCTTCTATAAAAGAGATGGAACAAATTTGATGAAGCGGCCCTCACCACTGCAATATCTTGACCTTTTGAACTTGTGGCTGCTAAATAAATTCCGAATATACGCAATGCTACCCTTATCGATTAGGTTCAAATTTGCTACCTCGGAGAGAGTGGAACACAAAACCTCCTATGCATGGAGTTGCTGAATCCAGCTGCTAAACCATTGGAGTTAGCTGGTACCGGCATTATCTCACAATTGTTTTCTTATTTGAAAATTGGTATATGAATTCACCCTCCTCTATATAAGCATTGTACTACTCACTACTCACGAAACCAGAATTTATATGGTCAAAGTCCATTGTCGTCATTATATTTTATCGGATAATATAGACATGCAGTTGAATAAATATACTTTGGGCCAGACTTTGTATGCAAATGGCACAAACAAAAGTGAATTACATTTTCCCTACCTCTGTGACAGCAAATTATTATTGTGTCACAATATTAATACAACAAACTGCAATAGAAACTATAACTTAGAAGAAGCACTGGACAATGCAAGCTTGATTAACTCCTTTCTCAGCACCTTACCAGTAGCATTTTTAGGCAATGAATTAACAAATGATACTCGTCTTATTTTCTTGAATGGAGCAACCTAAAACCAGTTTTTGCCAAAGGATCAAAAACAGAGAGAATGATATATATATACATATATAAAATTACACCACCATTTGTATATGAGGAAAGAAAATTACCTGTTTAGCAACAAAATCCGTAATTTGTGATTCGTTAATGGTGCTCCCGGATCGTCTCACCACAAAGGCCATGGGTACTTGACCTGCTTCCTCATCAGGATACCTGCACATTTATTACTGAATAAATTTACATATAATCGATTAAATGAAAAAATATAGAAGTAATCACCTATGTTTTAAGTAAAGCAGACATAGTTGAATTAACAATGGTAAGGAGTTAAGGCTGTGCATACGTAATCCTTCTCACATCCCGCAATGACGTGGACTAGACTAGCCCTTTTAGACAAAATTGAATTAACAATCCTAAAAATCAGAAATTAGATTAATGCGAGTGGATAACACTTACGGTATCACAGCTGCGTCAACAACATCTGAATGGGAATGAAGTACATGCTCCAGCTCTGCTGGGGCAACCTAATATAACAAAAAACATGGCATACACAAGATGATTACAACGTACTTGAATCATGTTTCAACATATTTGTTTTAGATCTCAACAGATTTTTTATGTATGTTGAAACACGTTTTAACTGTGTTGAATCTTTTTTTTAACATTATTATTTATACATTCAAAGTACTTAAATAGTGTTTCAATACATCAGTTCTATGTGTTGAAACATGATTTAAGCGTGTTGAAAATTCCTACATGCAAAGGATCTAGACTCGTAAGGAAAATGTCGAACATAAAAATTTCTTGAAACGTTTTAGTTAAACTTGCAAAAGTAATCAAAACATGTGAGACTTTACCTGGTACCCTTTGTATTTAATTAGTTCCTTTATCCTGTCCACATAGAATAGGTAGCCTTCATGGTCGAAATAACAAAGGTCTCCGGTTCTTAACCATCCCTCCGAATCCAAAGCTGCAGCTGTTGCTGCTTCATCTTCAAGATAGCCTGCCCAGTTGTAGCATCATAACTTTAATCATACTTTACATATAAACAAAGCTCGTTCAAGCTCGAGTTTTACAAACAGTTTCTGAGCTGAGCTTAAACATTCAAATTGTCTCGACTCTATAATGATTTACAAACTCTGAATGCATGAAATCGCCCACAATTCATAAACATTTTTGCAACCCAAACAAGCTGAGTCATATGTTGTGCTGGCTTAACTCATTTACTAAACAAGCTTAAAAAAAAAACCAAAAACATATGAAATTACCCTTCATTATACATGGTCCTCTAACCCAAAGCTCCCCTGTCTTGAGAGGATGCAAAGCAATGCGAGTGGTGGGGTCAACAATCTTCGCTTGGAAGTTCGACATAAGCCGTCCAGTTGCACCTAAAACTTGGCTTTCTTTCGGTCCTACTGTTCGGGCGACTCCACCAGTTGATTCAGTAAGTCCATATGCCTTTTATAACAAATTTATGGAAATCAATTTAATTAGCATCTACACTCCACAATATTGATAGTAACTTAAATAGGTTATATTAGGGGTGGCTACCAATTCTAATCTGATCCGCTTTCAACGGATTAGTCAAATCTTAATCCGCCATCAATCCATTATCCCACAAATCGGATCGGATTGGATTGAATCCACGGATTGGATTTTATCTAAATTATTCATTATTCATTATTATTTTTTTATTTTTATAATTAATATTATTTATTATTTATTTATCTTTTAACAAAATATATATATAAATTTCACGAACCGGATCGAATTGGATTCGCGGATTCATAGATTATTTGTCCACCCCTAGATTATATACAAGTATATATGAACAATACAATATTTAACATTTTAAAAAAAAAATGAGATGCAAAATTAGCAAGGAATAAAGATATTCATGAAAGCTATTTACTTACTAAAATCAAATGGATTAAGAGTTACTGGGACTAAAATTGAATAAATGAAATGCAAATTTAGCAAGGAATAAAGATATTAATGAAGTAATGGTTTTAGTCCAAAATTTTGGTTCATTAATACAAAAAGATGTGGAAATAAATGGCAATATAATTATTAGAATTGGCGCAAGTTAGACAAAATGGAGACAAGTGAGTGGTGTTTTATGTGATGAACACCAAATACAAAAAATTTGTAAAGCAAATTATTAGGCCAACTATTTTATACGGCAGATCGTGTTCGGCTTTAAAAAAGAAACACAAAAAAAAAAAAAAAAAGAATTCATGTAGCAAAAATGAGGATGTTAAGATATATGACATAAATGACTAAAAATGATAGAGTAACCGGGGGCGGAGGGAGGGGTGGGCCAACAGGGCCAGGCCCCCTCAAGATTTTTTTTTTTTTACTACATATAAAAATTATATAATTAATTTAGACTCTATAGTTGGCCCCCGCAAAAAAATTAGGGCAGCCGCAAAGAGCCTCACTTTCCTCATTCAGACTCGAAGAGCGAAAGGGTCTCAAGCCTTCAACTTCAAGGTTAGAGACTCTCAGACTCAGAACCATTGAATCATTGATCGTGATAGGCTAATAGCCTTGGCCCTTGAGTGATGAATGATGATTGCGAACCTCCGGCGCACCTCAGGTTCTTCTTTTCTTTCCCTTCATCTACATGATTACATCTCTCTATTTTTTACCCTTTTCTCGTTTTTTTTTTTTTTTTTGGTGTCAATGTTTGCATTTAAGTTATAAACTGAATGCTAGCTTTAGAATTTCAAGTCAGTGGTGGACCAGTGGTAAAAGATTGAAGGGAAAAGTGGAAAACTAGCAAATTAGGTGGTTTTGGATTCAAAACCATGATGAAGCTATGAACTTGTAAAGTGAATTACACAACATTTAATGGGTGCTATACATGTTCTGTTGTTAATTCTTAGTACATAGTAAGTCAGAGCTGGAGCAAATTCAGTTTATAAATTAATGACATATTGTGGAGGGAAAAAAAACTCCCTCCAATAAAAAACGCACACGTCACCACTGCACATATCTACATTCCAAGGACATATGAGGCCCATCAGGCTCAAGCCCAAATTGAGGGTATTTACAGCCCAAGACCATTGTTATTTGTCCTCCAACCTCCATCAAGGCCGAATTGAGAGGTCATCAGCCCAACTTGTTAATATTTAACATCCGGTCCGTTACTCAAGCCCAGCCGGATCAAAATATGTTCAGCCCAGTTATTCAAGAATGCACAAGTCCTACCAGTTCAAGGATTTACTGTAGAAGGAAAATTCTGAGATAGGAAGTTCTGTACAAGGCAAGTTCTATGTATAGAAAATTAGACAATGGAAAGAACTCTATTAGTAAAGAATGTTTATATAGAAAGAATTGGAGGGCAAGCAACGCGGGTCCTACCATAATTTTACAATCTTTTGTATATAAATAGAGGCTAAGACCTCCAATAAAGGGATCAAGCAATTCTACGCTTCTCTATACACTGTTCTTATTTATTCTTATTATTTTTTGAGTTTTGCACCTACACTTTGGCGCCGTCTGTGGGAATCGTATAAAAATATACTCCCACTTGTTCTTCAAATCAAATCTTTAGTCGTATCTGGAATGTCAAACGGAGAGTCAGCAATGAATCAACAGATAGAATTGATGCAAAAGATGCGAGAGGAGTTCTTGCACCAATTTGAGACACTCCGGCAAGCAAACGATAAAAGTGTCGCCCAGATAGCTGCGCTTCAGCAGCAGACTCATATGCTGCACACGGCAATGGCCAGGCTAACGCCACAACCACCACCAGGCGATGCTGCAGCACCACCCCCCACCCAGAATTTACCTCCAGTTCACGAGCCTCCGGCCAACGGGACACCACCCAACGGGGCTCAATCTAATGAGGTTCAGCAAAAGCAAGGGACGAGGTCCGAGGCGGTTGCTTCGGATAATCTCCCGTGCCGCACACAGGACGAACAGGCAGAGTCCAGCCATAGGCTTACGGTATGGTCCAATGGCGTTCCAGATGGCGCACGCGTACAAGATGCCTTTGACGAAAAGAAGCAATTAAGAGTTCAGACACCAGTCGAGATGGCTAGAGAGCACAAGAACTCCTTGGTCAAGACCCCCTTTACTGACGATGTGTACCTTGTGGAGAGACCAAAGAAGTTCACTATGTCATCCTTCACCCAGTTCGATGGGGCAGGAGACCCCTCTCGGCATCTCGATCATTATGCGCAAAAGATGGCACTGGACGATCATAACGATCCGTGGATGTGTAAGGTTTTTCCTACCAGTTTAACCGGAGCAGCGTTAGAATGGTTCAGGAATAGGCCACACAAGTCTATCCCTGATTATGAGACCTTGTGCACTATGTTCTTAGCCCAATATTGCGGAAATAAGAAGCAGAAGAAAAGTATCGCCAGCCTTTTCACCATAAGGCAAAGGAAGGGAGAAACTCTGCAAGATTTCTTATCCAGGTTTAACATGGAGGCCTCGGAGATAGCAGATTGCCACCCTGCCACGGCAATCGAGACATTTAAGTTGGCAATGATCCAGGGAACCAAGTTTCACACATCCTTGGTCAAATATTCCCCCCCGGATATGCAGACTTTGAACGCTAGGGCACAAATCTACATTCGGTTGGAGGAAAACGTAGCCCACCGTGCACAGCACGCTACCCTCGTCACAGTGAAAAACAAGTCTCGAGAGAAAGCTGCGAGCACAAGGATGCAGAAGGTTCCTCATACCGCCACATAAGTCACCCAAGCGCCTGAGAAGAGGCGAAGGACAGAGGGCAGGCTTACCCCTCTCCGTACTACCTTAGCGCGCCTATTCCAAGAGAATAAGACGAGGTTCGCAACTCCTCAGCCCATGAAACAACCCTTGGAGCAGAGGGACAAAAGCAAACATTGTGCCTACCATAGAGACTATGGTCATACCACCAATGACTGCAGGTCCCTTCAGCGACAGGTAGAAAGCATGATAGCGAGAGGAGAGTTAATGGAGTATCTCGCCACGAAGAAGTACGTAAAACCTGGGGAGGTTAACCCTCGACGGGTAGAGGGCGGTCAGGTAAAGGTTATCCATGCTATACACGGAAGGTCAGAGGATGATGAAGAGTCTGAAGAATTGTACAGATCCAGGCTGAGAGAGGCTCATAAGTTACGAAGATTGTCTTCGGTAAACACGGTTGCACCAGGCAGCATCAACATTGGATTCGATAACAATGATCTGTCTAAAGTCCAGCGCCCGCATGAGGACCCCTTGGTCATTAGCCTCCTGGTAGTGAATTATATGATCAGGAAGGTGCTGATAGATCCGGGAAGTAGCGCCAACATCATTACAAAAACAGTTTTTGATCAGTTGGGGGTTTCACCATCGTTCATCAGGCCAACTTCCAGCCCCCTAATGGGATTTGATGGTACTAAGGTGAATCCGCTTGGGGTGATCAATCTATCCGTTACTGCAGTAAAGAGGACTCTGAAGGAGAACTTTGTCGTGACGGAGATTCATCCATCTTATAACCTCATTATGGGGAGAGGTTGGATCCATCGTATGAACGGAGTCCCCTCTACCCTTCATCAAGTAATGAGGTGTTTATCCCCAGATGGCAGGGAAGTCATCGACCTCTGGGGAGACCAGGTGGCTGCAAAAGAATATTACATGCTAACGCTACATGAAGCAAAGAAGGCGTCGAAATCACCTCAATTAGAGGCGAATCCCAAAGGCGCAATCAAATAGCAGTTACAGTATCCTCTGCCCAAGTATCTCAAGGCAGAGGAAGAAGCCGAGGCTGAAGCACCTACCGAGGAGTCCCTCGAAGCTATAGAGGTAGTCCTCGGAGACCCTCAGAAGGTCACCTACATTGGCTCATCTTGCACAGCCGAAGAGAAGGAAGCATTGATCAGGGTCATTCGGTGCAATTCGGATGTCTTTGCCTGGGATCACTCGAATATGGTGGGGATCGATCCTATGGTCTTATGCCATAGTTTGAGGGTTAACGCAGAATTCAGGCCAATCAAGCAGAGGCATCGACGGTTCGAACCTGAACGGAATCGCATAATAGCCGAGGAAGTAAATAAACTATTACAAGCAGGATTCATTCAAGAGGTGCAATACCCACAATGGCTCTCAAATGTAGTAGTCGTTCAAAAGAAGAATGGGAAATGGAGGGTATGCGTAGATTATACCAACCTTAACAAAGCTTGCCCAAAAGATAGCTTCCCTCTGCCCAAGATTGATCAAATGGTGGATGCTACGACAGGTTATGAGAGGCTCACATTCCTCGATGCATACTCCGGCTATAATCAGATTCCCATGAATCCTGAAGATGAGGAGAAAACCGCTTTCATCACAGAGACGGGCACTTACTGCTACAGGGTGATGCCCTTCGATCTAAAGAATGCCGGAGCCACCTACCAGCGACTTGTCAATAAAATTTTCAATAATCTACTGGGGAATACAGTTGAAGCTTATATCGACGATATGGTGGTCAAAAGTATACG